AAACACCATGTCACCATGAGATGACTTTCCTGACAAGCCTTCACTGGTCATTCCTCAATTATTTTAAAACATCTTCCAATTACACCCATTGTCTCAGATAGACTCAATTGTACTTATTCTTTCTTAATTATGGGAGCCTCTTGCAAAACATTAATCATGCTCAGATTTTGTATCAGTCAAGAAATTATAAAGCCTGTTCAGTTCTCACCCTGGTTTTTTATTTTATGTTTTAAAACCCATCAGGAGGCACTCAGTAAAACCAGCAGCAACTTGAAATTTGATGACAAAACAGTTAAAGAGTCAAAACTAACCCCTCATTTTCCATTGAGCAATCCTATGTACACGAGGAGTAAATAAATACACCCTTTTTTGTAGAATTTGGAGTGTTTTCACTGGCTGCATGTCCAAGTAAAAGTCCCAGGGCTGAATTAAAAAAGGTAAATGAAATTACTTTACTTCCATGTCCAGCTCAGGTGGCCACCAGGCCTTGAACAAGATTACCAGGACAACTAGTGAATATCAATGACACCAGCATTGCAGCAGGATTTTTTCTTGGCACTGGATTTTGCCTTCTTTTTTGTTACAGGGTTTCCCTCCCTTTCACTGGGACAAATGGGGATCACAAGTTCCAAACAAGTTAAAAACCAAAAAGAAATGCAGCTTGCAAGTTTACATTGTAATTGATATAAGTCTATTATTACAAGACAAATTGCAGCAGACAATGCAAGAGACAGCTCAATCTGTTACCCAGTCCCTGCAATGGCTGTATGAAGAACTCGACCATTTCACTCATAAATCTTCCTCCTAAGTTTTCATTGCTGCTTGTATGGGAAAAATAATAAAAACTATGGAGTGACGTGTACAAGGGATGCAGTAACACATTTCTAAACACAATTACATTAAATTTGTTACAGGAGCCCTGACCCTTTCAGCATCTAATCAGGAATATGTCGTGTCCCAGGCTGCAAAAACACCCCACCATTCCTTTAAGAAGTCATTATCATGACTGCTATCATGCCAATTGTGAGAAATCATCTCTGCTGAGATCGCTGTGAGGCACTGGGCTGTCATCAGCCACTCTGGAGGATCCATCACAAACTTTCTTCAGGACAAAATTCCATTTCCAGGACACTGACCTGCTCCCTAACTCAACAGCAAATACAAACTCCACAGGAAGAAGATTCCTGAGATGTACATTCCCATTTACTTCTTAGAGCAATGAATTTAGCGATATTTTTATACTAATTTCTTGTCTCTTGTCTGGAGCTCACAGCACCCAGCAAGGAGATCATGAGAATCACTGCACAAGTAAAACTTCAGAATTAGCTGCCAACGTTGATGAGAGAAACAGAAGAAAGGAAAAAAGATTGGAGAGGGGGAGATATAATATGGGAAACATGAAATGATTTTGCTCAATGAGTTTAAGGGCAGCTATGAAATGCCTGTGGCTCCTCCTCTGTCAGGAGGCCACAACAGCAGAAGTGACAGAAGCCAAGATTACAGCCAGGAGCGCTGAGGGGCAGCTTTCTGCCAGCACCTTGGGGTCTCACAGCCAGCTGGAGCCTCCCTTCCCCTGACAGCCCCAGGAGGGGCTCTGGGCACTCCTGGCAGCTCAGGGACAGAGTCTCCAGGCACAAGGACATGGCCCCTGCACCAACAATCCCCTCTGACAGCCTCACTCACATCCCAGCACCAGCTTTGACATCTTATAGCACGCACTCCAAAACCAAACTGGCTTCCCTGGCACCCATCCCTTCTGCTGAATCCTCAAAGAAAAAGATGCTGGTGGAAGAGATCTCCTTTTCCTTTTGGGTTGGCAGGAAAACAGTCAGATTTACAGTCAGGTCTCACAGACAAGTAGGGAGGAGGGCACAGACTAAGCTTAATGATCATTT